ATAAGGATAAAAATAATCAAGTGCTTAGGATAAACAAGGAGAACAGGAGAGAAGATTATGTTTCAGGAAAAAGAATATTTTATGTGATAATAAAACTTTTTTAATTCTCTTTTTAAAATTTTTAACTTTATTTATTATCTTTATAATTAATTTTATTACAATAAAAATTATTTTTTTATTAATTAGGCGAGCCGCGGTCGGCTCGTCCCATCCCGCGGTTGGCGGGACGGGCCAAAGCGGGCTGATGGGCTGAAAACACCAACCCGCCCCGTCATATTATGGCGGGCCGGCCCGCCGAACCTAGCCCGTTTTGCCATCCCTACTTTTATGTGGGAGGAGATCAAGAGTTGAGAGGTGGAGATGCGACTACTGGACAACAGTGTACAGTTCGACTTTGTGGGAGCTACTTTTGCATGTATAATATATAAATAAATTATGTTACTATGTTTTGAGGTTCCACTAATGAACCGGAATTTCAATCTATATTACAATTACAATAATATAATGTAATATATATGTTGTTATTTACTTATTTACTATTTTGTAAAGACGTCATTATAGTAGCGATTTCTAGGGTCGTTACAATTGCAAACTTCCTAATCGGGTTTATAAAATTTTAATAATTATATATGAAATAAAAAAACTTAGAAAATAATATAAGAAATGGTAAAAAATCATAAAAGTTAATTGAAGATAAAATATATGTCATAATTCTATCTCATATTAGGATACATCTTAATTCTTATCAAGATAAATTATCAAGCTTCTCGGAATGTCTTAGAGTCGAAGAAAAACTTCATAAATTATTGTCAAAATATCAAATTTTATTAACATTGTTTGATAAATAATTTTGCTAATTAAGTTGTTTGTAATGATTTTAAAGAAAATAATTTCTTTCCATTTCTTCTATTACCAATAACAGTAAATGTCACTTTTCAAATGTTTAGGTATTTCTTTTTAAATAACTTAAAAGAAATGAAAAGGACATTCCCCTTTTTGAGATTGTATTTTTTTTAAGTAATATATTTTAAAATATTAACTTCTAATTTTATATTTTATTTTGTTTTTATCGTATTTATTCAATTTCTACAATTTCATCTTGTATAAGTTGATTTTTTTTCTTCTTACACAATTTATTTTACTCATTATAATATTTACACTATTTATTATACTATTTAAATACTATATTCCAAGATATTTATTTATTACATCAAGCAACAAAATCAATGTACAACAAGTCTAGGTTAGTTTATTTTAAACATAATTAATAATTTTATAAGATATAATAAATACTAATAATTACAATTGATACTAAAAGAAGCTAATAAAATAATTGATCTAGAAATGAAAAATTACAAAATTTTAAAATAGTTAAAAACTTATAATTACTCTAAACTACTTTAGAATAAAATAAAATAAAATTTATATATAAATACGTTTATATTTATCATCTACTTAAACATATAATTTATTAAATATTTATAATTAAATGAATTAGTTTAGTAATTTTTAACTACTATTTTCTAGTTTTTAATTATCACTTAAGTTTTACTGCAGACGCATAATTATTTATTGTAGAAGGAGGTACATGTATTTGAAAAAGAAAATATAAATAATGATAAAAAATCTTAAATATGATAATATTTATCTTTATAATATTATTTATTTCATATATAAATTAACATTGTTAAAAAAAAAAAATTGTAACACTTATGAAAAGATACATGTTATTACTTATTATTTATTTTTATTTTCTACTCTTCATAAATAACTTGATAATTTCACTATAATGAGTGTAATTTAACTTAATCCTATCTTATCTTTTACGTTATTTTATTTAATAACAAATCACCAATAATATATGATAGAAAAGAAAAGGTACAACTCAAACATGTTAAAACATGAAAGTCCAATTTGGTTCACAAAACCGTGGTATTGTCCTTTACAAGTAGCGGACATGACAATTTGGGTTTGGACTTTTCATCCCTTCAAATCTTTTAATAATTTTTTAATCTATCATCAAGTTGAAGTTGTTCATTGAATTCAATTTTGAGGAAATGTAGTTGAGAAATTCCATTAAATTATAAATGATAATCAATAAAAACTTTTGGATTCTACTAAAATAAATAAATATAAACACTTCAACTATAAATATCAGTAATTTGTAATAAAAAAATTACTAAAAAAAAATAATCATCAAATCTCGAGAAGGGAATCTCAAATTTAAAAAACCTAAAATTACTTCTGCGGCCAGTCAAGAGGGTCAATGGTGAAAAACAAAAGCTGCAAAAGTTAACAGACAAAAATTAAATATGAAAGAGAATACAAAAATTATATAGGATTGAAAAAAAATTTATGAAAAATGACAACTGCGTGTGATGCGGACATAAAATATTATAAAAAAAATAATTAAAAGAGTTTAGCTTTCAAAGAATATATGATATAATTCCTTTTTTTTTAATTGGTGACCAGATTAAAAAAAATATATATATACATATATATATATATATATATATATATATATATATATATATATATAATTTATATGAATAACTACTTTAATATATGTTAATTATATAACAGCTATTTTTAAATAAAATCTGTATATATTGACACAATATTATAATTAAAATAAAAATTACAATTATAATAAAAAACTAATCATAATAATAAAATATTAATTAAAATATCTCAATAATTTTGATAAAATAATATTTTATTTGTTTTATAAAAACAGTTTTTGTAATATATAAAAATTGAGTTCAGTAGAAATATACTTTATACATTAATTCATCAAAAATTATTTTTAAAATAATTAATATATAAATTAAAAAATATATAAATATAATTTACTGTAATCAAAAGATTATGTGAAAATATACTTAGAATGCCTGTTTTTATTTTTCTATAGATATTTTATCGAAAAATTATTAGGTATATTATATTATAGTGTATATTTATATTGATCTTTAATGTTTGTACATTTTTTTTCACAATCTAATTAGTTTTTATAAAATATGTAAATTTGTATATTTTCTTATAAATTTTAACACATTTTAAATGTTTTTCAATAAAAAAAGTTTTGTCCTTATTTTTTTCCCTAATATTATTTGGAAAGCTACAAATGTTATTTTTCTTACAAAATTGATTTTGTATACCACCTTTATCCTGTTTTGTTATTTATTCTAATTTTTATAAGATTGTTTTTCTTAATCTCTTTTTCGAACACCTGTTAAAAAAAATGAAAAAATATTTTAATACTATTATTCACATAAATAATCCATCTAACAATTGTATTTCTTATTATAATAATAATAATTAATTTATTTTATTTTTTATTTTTATAAAAATCTCTTTTATAATTATTATATTAATAAAATAAGTTGTTTCCTTGGAAGGTTGTTAATATATCATGGTTACCGAAAAAATTGCAGCTAAGATAATTTTTTCTTAAATGATTATACAATTAGATAATTTTGTTATGGTAAAGGAAAGTTACTAGCTTTGCGGTGGAAAGGATGAGGCTAAACTTTTATGAATTTTGGTATTATAAACAAAAACTGGGATGGGACAGAGTCTGAAGCTGTTGTGGACACACACACAAACACATGGGTTTTCCTTCAACTCCACAACCCAAATACAACACCTAACACAAACCCCTCCCATCTTCATTTTCACCTTCTGCAATTCCAATTAAAAAAAAGATCTCTTTTTTCTTTGAGGGAACACCTTCTGCTTAATTTTCCTTTTTTATTGGGTGATTCTTATTATCATTTGATCTGAAGGTGGAATTGCAGAAGGTTTTTGATATGATTTATCTATTGCACTCTTCTGTTACCAGCCTTCATTGGTGCGTCTTCTGAGTCTTTTTTTTTTTTTTTTTTTCTATCTTGATCATCCTGAATCTTCTTATACTTGGTTTGATTTTTATCAGTTTTCTGAATTTTGTTGTTCTGGGGTTTATGGGGTATAAAAACCTGATTTTTTGTTGTTTCGGTGTTGTAAGGTTAGCTTTAGAACAGCTTAAAGGAAATAAAATAAAATAAATAATTTAAAAAAAATTAACACAGTTGCTTGTGGTAGATGACAACACAAAAGCTTTGTGGGTTTTCCGTGAATGTGTGTCTGACAAGTCTGCCTTTTTTTTTTTTTCTTTTAATCAACATGTTTCTTTTTTAATTTTATTTTTCTCTTCCATGATGATCGCTTCTGAAGAAACCTTCTTTGTATGGTCATTGATTACTCTTACTTCAGCTTGAAAATTGGTTCAGATGGATGGTTTATTAAACTTTTATTCTCTGTTTTCCGAGGTATTTTCAACTTTATTTTCTCTCATTTTCTTGTCCATCCTATTGTGTTTGATTCAATCCTCTCCGAAGGATTAAAATATGAATTCTTTTTAATTTTAAGTGATGGGGCTCGAGTCTTTGTATTTTTGTTTTTATGTGTTTTTTCTTGTTGCTTTGAGAGCAGAGGTAATTCATGTATTTATTCAAATGTTATCAGGCATAGGCATTGATTTTGTTGAGTACCATGAACTGTTTGGGATTCATCTGCTGCCAGTACGGAGGTCGAGAGATATGTTCTTGTTGCAGTTCTTGGATGTATATCATGTCCTGGACTCTCTCTGTATGCCCTGCTAAGGAAATGATGATTTTAATGTCTCAAATGTGGATGCCGCTGATGGATACATGACATAGTTGGAACTCGGACTTTCTTTTGGGTTTTGAATTAATTGATTTGGATGATCGTATTTCAATTGTAGTTGTATTGTAGGTTCTAGTAGGTTAGCATGAGTGATTGAATAGGGTATTGGTTAGGGTGGAGGCTAGGATTGTAGTTCTTAGTTGATGGTTGTCATACCATGATCATCCATTAATAGGGAAAATATTGAAATGAACATTTAAGACCTCCTGAAAAGGGATCACATTGGTGATTTCAAACTAGTTTTTCATCTCTTTAGGAAGATCAAGATCATATTGCTGAATTGAATATCTGCGATGGGCTTGCCCCAGATACCGCCAAATGAAACTTCTGAAAAGGTTGCCCATGTGGGGGCAGCTTTAAATAGTTCACCCCAGTTTTCTGATGCAAGCCCCTCTGCAATGAGCAGCATGAACACTGTTAACACTGGTGGGTTGGCTGCACGTACTCTAGGATCTTCTTTTGATGATTTCCCGAAGAATGACTCGTTAGAAACTTCAAATGTTTCTGATAATATGTTTTACAGAGGAGCCATGGAAGTTGCCTCAAATGTCCACAGTTTGAAGATTGGTTCAACAGATAGAAGTACTCCTTTTGCTTTGAAGAGTGGACGCAATGTTCATATTCCTGCTTCAAGGGTTGTTGGTTTTGAATCAGGCAGAAGTAATACATCAACTGATGGTTTGGCTGGTGTTCCAGCTGCAAATCTTCATTCTTCTGTGTTTACTAATTTCCCAGCCAATGACACTGAATCTGCCAGTTCATTGGTCAGGAAGCGACTTTTATCTCCATTGAGCAGTATGCTCTCCCCAAGTCATTTTAAAGGTGATTCTCTTGACATTGGCTGCAGAAATAATGAGACCGGCTCCCGTGTTAAGAACGATAATGTTAGTAATTCCATTGCACAAGATAATAAGAAGGCAAATATTGGAAGCAAAAGCAGTACAATATCTTCTTGGTCCTTGAGAAGTTGCTTTGAGCAGAAAAGTGAGCTACACATTACAGAATCCTTTTTCAAAACTGATGGTCCTTTGAACGAAAATAGGGGACTACTATCTCATTGTAGTTCACCCACTGCAGGAATCGACCACTTTAGTGAACTGAGTCAGGTTAACCCTCAAAGTGGCATAAAATCTGTATCTCCTAAAAGCATGAGCTCTCCTCTTTCCATGTCACCTCTTGGTCCTAAATTTTCTGACAGAATAAAAGCTATTGGAGGATGTAGGAATGTTGTTGAAGAGATAAATAATTGCAATATAACTTCAAGGGGTATAGAACAATCACTTGACAATTCTAACTCATGCCTTATGTTAAATCATAAGGATGATGATTCTGGAGTTGCAAGTAAATCCTTTGATGATGTTGAATTCTTATGCAAAGATTTCTGTCCATCATCTCTGGATGAAATTACTGACATGAGTTGGTCACTATCTCGAGAATCAGGTCCCACCTCTCACTCCATGAGATTCACTAGAAGTTTAAGTGGGCTTTCAGTGAGGAGGTCTTTGGTTGGTTCATTTGAGGAGTCTCTTTTATCTGGACGATTCTTATCTGGAAACAGTAGTAAGGTGTGGATATAAGCTAATTAGAATACTGTAATTGATCTTGTTCATCATTCTAATTTTAGTTCAGTGAATGTTTTAAAAAACTGATCTTTTGTTGCTTGTTTCTATGTTTATTATATGTAGAAAATCGATGGTTTTCTTGCTGTGCTAAGCATTACTGGGGGAAACTTTTCTCCTAAATCACAGAAGCTTCCATTTTCTGTTACTAGCGTGGATGGAGATTGCTATTTGCTATATTATGCATCAATAGATCTTGCAGGAAATTCCTCTTCAAACAAGTTTGGAGGCCAATATCTGAAACGAGGGCTTAGAAGTGATGATTCACAAATTGTAAAAAGTCGATTGCGGATACCAGTGAAGGGACGCATTCAATTGGTATTGATATACTTGTTTCACTGTTATAAGTTTCTTAGCCCTATATCCGACTGGCCTTCTTTTGATGAATCTGTTAGAGCCTTGAATTTATATTTGCAGGAATAGTATGATACCTTAACATTAAGGGAGGTAACAATGTACTGTTAATAAATAGCAAATTGTGTGTCAAACTGCCAATAGGGGGGTTGTACACGGCCAACAGACCAGTTCACATAGCCCACAAGGCTACACAGGCTTAGGTCTGCAGAATCATAATCCTGGGTTAAATGGTTTGGTTTGTGGGCCAACTTGTTTACCTGCAATTCTGCATAAATATTATTTTATTTAAAAAACAAAAAAAAATTGTAGACTAATCCATAGTCCAGGTTGTTTATTATTATTTTTTGGATAAAAGGAAAAAGCATTGAGAATAAAAAGATGTGTAGTATGTGGGCTTATGTAGGTTAGTCTATTTAATTGTGAGCTTAAGTGGACTGATATGAACTGGATTTAAGCTAGTCTGCACAGTATGTTGGCTATGATATATATTTTTTGGTGAAAGAATTATTTTTTATTTGTGGTTCCAAGAGAATGGACATTTTATCTGCTCAATTAATGAGAATGTACTGCTTTCTTTCATTTATATATATATGCATTTCTTCATTTGTGCCATGTGGGTGAGAATGTTTTAGGTGGAAGAAAAGGGAGACAATTGATGTATTTGGACTTGGGTTTCAGTACATTCTCATCAGTACTTTGCCTGCTTTACTCCTCCCCAAATCCCTACTAACAAACACATAAGCTGTGCTACAATTATTCTCATTCTCCTCTTCTCATCTTGCAATATTGTTTACATATTCAATTTTTGAGTTTCTAGATATTTGTGCAGATTGGCATCTTTTGTGTACAACAAATGCCTTACATTTGATTGCACTTTGCAGGTGCTAAGCAATCCAGAAAAGACTCCTCTTCACACTTTCTTTTGCAACTATGATTTGAGTGACATGCCAGTTGGTACCAAAGTAAGATTTTATCAGTCTGACTGAATCTATGACTCAATTGATCTGGATATTTTGCTTCCTAATGGCATAATTGTTATGACATGGCTAATTTTAGCTTCGATCTTCATTGAAATCAGTGTTATCCAAGATGAGAAGTGTTAAGAGGTGATAACCCCAAAAACTGCCTCACTTAAATATTGTTAGGCAGGGTGGGGGCCTTAAGAAGGTGGACTGACCATAATTGAAAAAAAAAAAAAAAAAAAGATTTATTTGTAATCAACCATCATCCACATTACAAACTTTGAAATACTCAAATTAAGTGTTGAAACACACAGGAGAGCAAATATTCATCCAAAGAGAAATATTTTTTCTCGTTATTTATTTATGTTAGAATCAGAAATATGATAAGATCCAACTTTTGTTTTCTAAGGTTTTTCTAATGGGTCTTAATGGATCTGTTGTGCTGAAGCAAAGCTTGTAAGTTGAAACTTAGGGGTTCATGACATGTCCTGCCACATCTGGATGTTCTGCTTTTGGTTGCATTTAGTAGCCAAATAATGTGTAATTGTTGTAAATTATAGTGGAAATGAGGATAATTTGAAATGGGAGGCTCAGGGGTCATTTAGACTCAACTTCTTCACATTGGCTGAGGATATTGATATTTGTCTGTGGTTCATAAATAGCTTCTTTTTTAAATAGATACTTATGTCAAGTGTTTTGAAATATTATTAAGCTAAATCAATATAAAATCTCTAGATTTCTTTTAAAAAGTAAATGCCCATTTTTGTTCTTCAAACATGACATTACATTGATACTCCATTTGTTGGTAACGTTCAATTGGTCTTTCAATGATAAATAAATCCATTGGTTTCATCCTTTCTGGGATCAATTTGACTGATTAAAGCACAACATAATCGATTATTCCATTCTAATTCCATTTTGTTCCACTCACTATTAGGTATTCAAATACAGCTCAAGGGACTTATTCAGTTTGAGAAAATGTTCTTACCTTTCCTGCTTTTACAGAAACAGAATTTCAATATTGGTTTCACTTAAGCTAGACGTTTTGTCACCTCAAAAAAGAATGCTTGTAGACCATCAATGATGTTCTTTTGATAATTTTTGTATAGCCTATGATGGTATTCACATTTAACACCAAAACTACAATGTAGTCATCCTACTGGATTGGATATATCTCTGATAAAACATACATTTGATTTATACTTCCAAATTTATGGGTTCACTTTGAGTTACATTTTAAAATTGTTATTTGCTTATTCTTTATCAATTTCTGACTTGTTATATATCATGCAGACATTCTTGCGCCAGAAAGTCACCCTTGAATCTTCCGGGTCCACCTCCCCTCAGTTGAAACAAAGATCACCTGGTTTTAGAATTGGAATTGATAGGGGGATTACACCAATGCAAAAGAATCATTACATTTCATGTGATAGAGAAGTAATGCATACAGATGCAGTTAATGTTGTAAATAAAACAAAATCTACAAATCAGGGAAATGGAAAGGGCTCTAGCTTGATGAATTTAATAAACAAAGAGGATTCTTCAAATACAAAAATGCTGGGAGTCCCTTCTGCATCAAAACTTGACTGTGAATGTATTGCTGATAAATCTGAGATGGATGAAAGAAAGAATTGTTGGGATAAAACATGTGATGGATCAAGGAAATTACCAAATTCCTGTTCAAAGGTGAAGGACAATTCTAGTAGTGGGGGTCCACTTCGCTATGCTCTCCACCTACGCTTTATTTGCCCTTTTCCTAAGAAGACCAATAGATCAGCTCAAAAAAGCAGACATAATTCTCTTCAAGAAAAATCTGGTGGATTAAACATGGAAGGGGAACGAAGATTCTACTTATGCAATGATTTGAGGGTTGTGTTCCCTCAACGTCATTCAGATGCTGATGAGGGCAAGGTATGTGCCTATCTTGTGGTTATGTTACCCAATTGCATCAACTCAGTGTTATACTAAAACTGCTAAAAGCAGTATGGCTTCAGATTTTTATGTGTAGAAAATTATTAATTTACTATTTTCTGGTTCATTTTTATTGTTATTATTCTTATTTTTTGTTCTTTGTTATCTTCAAAATTTAGACATTTCTCCATGACAAAGTAATTTGAGTGTGATTCCCTCCATCCTTGTATTTCTTGGGTGTTATATTTGTTGTACGGGTTTGGTTAAGCAAGCTAAAAAGAGCTGATAGGAGGGTCACAAACCACATTTGTGAGCTTATTGAATTAAGCTCTTATTGCATACATGTTTTAGTAATTTGTCCAAACGTGCCCCCAAAACATTAGAAGCCATATGTTAATTCTTGTGCTGATCAATGACCAATCTTGTTCAGTAATGTGACTGTCATGTTTTCTAGGATGAATATAAATATGAGTCCTTGTCCCACATGATGTTGATTGAATCCATGCCGGGATGATAAATTGATTAAAAATGTCTAATCATTTCCCTTTTATCTATCTATAAGTGGAGAGCAGAATTTTGTTACATGTTTCTCTGATTCCTGTAGGTGCAGGCGGAATATGATTGATGTCTTGGTTTGTGTGTGTTGTGCAATTTGGAATCTAATTGTTTGCATTTCTTGGTCTGCCTAGTCTCTGACAAGGTCTGATGTGGTTTGTTTGGCAGTTGAACGTGGAATACCATTTCCCTGAAGATCCAAGATACTTTGACATCAACTGAAAATTCTAGTTTCCTCCTCAAAAAAAGCATGCTGCTTTTGCTGACCCTCTTGTACATAGTCACAAGTTTGTCTTGAGTCATGTCCTGGAAAAATAGCACTAACCCCTTTCCTCATGTAAATACTTAAACAATTTCAATAATTTAATGGGTTAACTATTTTCAATTCTTGACCTAATTATGCAATTACCATGAAAAGTGGATGTTGAAGGGCATGGTGGAACTTGATTACCCATACTTTGAATTATATTCTAGACCCAGAGCAGTCTTCTATTGTTCATTTATTGGTTGCTGAATTCTCATGGATTTGGTTTCTTTAAGAAATATTTGGTGTGTTTTAGTATATAAATCGTTTAAGATTTCTTTACACAAATCAATATAAATATTAATTATTATTAAGTTATAAGTTTTAATTTGTTATTTTTTTTATCTTTAAAATAAATATAATAAAAAAATAATTAATACAATCTTAAGATCTGAATATAAATAGACACGATTTTCTAATCAATAACAAAATCCACCGGTTTCTCTTATCTTTCATCTTCTATAACATTCACATGTGCTCAAGTTGTGTTTCAGTTATTTTTAGTTTACTTACTTTTTTGTAATTGTAATTTCGATCTCTATAAAATTAAATCACATATTTAATTTGATTCAGCATTAATATATCATTTAATTGTAAAAAATGTGAATGTGTTTCCAATGATATAAATATCAAAATTTATTATTAAACATTGTTTTTTTAAGAGTACGGTCAAATCTTCAGTGAATAATTAACTAACAGCATTATTATTCATACCTCAACATCTGTTAAATTTTGAATTAAAAGAAAAAAACTAAATATAAAACTATTTTTTTGCAGATCGAAATTATTATTGCATTGAGATGGCCATGAGAATGAATAAAAAGAAAGAACTGGAGAACAGTCACAGTGTGAAATTTATTATGAATATATTTTATAATTTGTTTCTAAACATAAAATTAAAATGTTATTATATTCTCATAAAATAAATGGTTCATGTATTATTATATAAAAATATATCACTTTTAATATTTTTTAGTGGATACAATTTTACCAGCGTTACAGTAAATTTTTTTAATTATTGAAACTTTTTTTTATTATTATAATAAGAAAAATGTAGGCATACAAATGTGACCACCTATGCTTTGACTAGTATGCCATGACCATTTTATTTTAGTTACCAAATTAGGTGTAATGTTTGACGACCTAATCACTTTCATTAGGAAGAGTTTACGATATTCACACAATGATTCATGCAATATTTTTAGATAAGTCAATGCAATATTCTCTTAATTCTTTGACGTCTACTCACGTAATGATTGATATCCGTAATTATCATTCATTAGCGTACTTTGATGTATTATATCATTGTTTTTTAAAACCGTTCCACTTCGAGTTAAAATATTTCATAATTTAATAAAATAATATTTTATAAAAAAATAATAAATATATAATAAATTTATTAATAATAATATTTTTTATAAAATAAAAAATAATTATTATGATCGTCATAAATTATAATAAAAATAATAAATATAAATTATTGTATCACGTAAAAAAATATTCAAATAAAATAAAAAATATAATAAAATAATTATTATTTAAAATTAACCGTGATTCATGTTATATAAAAAATGTATCTTTTAAAAACCATTATCTTAATTAATTTTAATTTTAAATAAATTTAATAAAAAAAATTATCAAATTTTCTGATTTTATATTGATTTAATTAAAATTTGATTTTTTATAAACATTTTTAAACTCGTTCATGAATTAATTAATCTAATCCAATTTGTAAACACACATTATAATAATAATAACAATTATTATTATTATTATTATTTAAAGATTTGATTAAATATTCTATAATAACCAATAAAAAAACTCAAAATCAAATTAGAGACGATGTCTTATAACTTCAAACACATTGTCTTAAAGATTTTGTGTTAATTAAATAGTTTGGTGAATTAAATATAATAAAACATGTTATTTTATTGATAAATGATAACATATGATTAGTTTCAATGTCTATGGGACAAATGATATAATGTTTATTTATTTTAGAAATTGTATGTATCCAAGTAAAACACTACTTGTTACAGCAATAATTTGGATGAAATTCACAAAAGAATGCATCAATCTAACTACATTATTTTTCTTTTGAAAAATTACGATAAATTTTACATCTCTTTCTCAGCGTTAAATGATATTAATGATTTCTTATGTTTTTTTTTTTATTATAAGCCATGTTTTATGTTTTCAGTTTAGAAAATATTTAAATAAATATACAAAAATTAATGAAATAAAATTATTTGATTTAATAAATTTAGTTTTCACCCGGAGTTATGTAAAGTTTCTAATCGTTAATAATGCCACATTTTGAGTTATTGGAACTATTGCGTTATCATCATATTTTATTTTATTTTTAGTTTTTTCTCATTTTATTCAAACTCGGGTAAATTATGTAACAATTGAACATATTCAACTGGAGGAATATAATTAAATTTTGATTATTCATTAAAAAGATCCTTTTAAACAAATTAAAATTTCCCTCTTTTTTCAATCAGAATCTAGAATGATAAATACAAAAAATTATTATTTTCATTCTATGAATGAAAATTAATAAAACTCCCCACCAGGAAAACTAAAACTAAAGATTCGTGTATTATATATATATATATATATATATATATATATATATATATATATATATATGTATGTATAGTATGTATGTTTGGTGAGTATTTTGTATTAAATAGAACTTTATAATAACTTTTAGATGCTATTGAAGCATTATTATAAATATAATAACTTGTAGCTCTGACTTCTTATATTTTATTTTTATTTTTATTTTATATAAAACATGATTTTATTATTTTTTTATTCTTTCTTAACAGAAGGTTATTATTTAATTTCTCCTTAGTTTTTTACTTAAATATTTTTAATATTATTTTTTATCCATGAAATCGATTTAAGATGCTAGAAAATTAACCATATTTCATACATAGTTATAACCAAATGAGTTATAATATTGATTGTTTTAGGAGAGAATATGGGAACTTGTAGGCGAAGTTGGTGTGCTCCAACAAGAAAGGAAAAGTATTAAAAAAAAAAGAGATAGATTAAAAAAAAATGTGTACAAAAGGAATAATCAACGATGGATAATGTTTTTTTTTTTTAAATAAGATGAAGTAATTTGAATTATTATATAATTTGGAAATAGAGATGAAAAGTACAAGTAGATGAGAAGATGGAGAAGCAGAAATGCATATGGTGATTAATGCATGAGATAACCTACATCTGTGCGTCTTATCTGTCTTCAGAGTCCTAGCTAGCTAGTTAAAGAAAACGTGACAGCCAAATTTTCATATGACCACAAAAACCTGCATGATGCCGTTATTCTTTACATCACGCGATTTCACACCCAGAGAGAGAGAGAGAGAGTGAGAGGGTGCAATTTTGAGGCTTAACATCATAGAACAAACCCATTAGGGAAAGCGAGGGAACATGGAAGATGAAGCCAGACCTATCTTTAGATGACATTAGCCCATCTTTGCATTGCAGGTGAGAGAATGTGGCATCAAACCCACTTTGGCTTGGGACTCGCAACTAATTAACCAAGACTCAAATCAGAAGAATAAGAAGAAGAAGAAGAAGAAGAAGAGTGAGATGAGAGTGATTGAACAATTACTGCCACGCTGCGTGCACCACAACACAAACCTCAATCACTTTGATAATCTAATCAAATGTCCTTGTCATCCCTCACCTCCCATCACCATTCCCCCATACATTAAACAATATTCCTTTCCTATACACTCTACACAAACTAGCACTGCCATTACGAGAGAGAGATAACAAAGAGAAAGCTTGGTTCAAATATTTTATGAAACATATATACATTAATTCCCTTTGTATGGTAGTACGTGTAATTTAATTAATTATTGGGTTTGGTGGAATTAATCTCTCTCATACGTGGCCCCTAGGAGGGAGGAAGGTACCTCATGGGCTAACCGTATTGGTGAGGTGTCGAATAATGAGAGGGTGACATATTGAGAGAAAAGCGAGTTGCAGGGGGTGTGTATGTGTGTGTGCGGTGTCAGAATCAGACGCAAACACTCTCATCCTAACTGCACTCGCATTCCTCACACCTCCACAGACACACACACACCCAGAGGGAGAGCCAGGGTACAGGTAGTGTAGTGTGTAGTACTACTACTAAGTGCTCCCACTTCTTGTCTCTTTCTGCATATCACTCACGTCACGTCCTTTGATTCCTCTTACCATTTTACTTATTCCCGTTCTGCCCTTTCAATAATAAAATCTCTTTACCCTCCATATTTCATCCAACTGCAAATACAAAATAACTAAACATTACTAAAACTAACTATTTTGGCTTATAATAAAACCATGTCCCATACTTTGCACTCACCAACGCAAATCTAAACTCCTTTTTTTTTGTTTTCTCCATTCCCCATAACATAACAACTACATCATTACCTTGTTAGAAAAGCCATTTTTCTCGCGCCCATTTTTTGCATTTCAAGATCTGTTATCGTTATCACAATATGCGCATTGCTCGCTTAATTTACCACCACGCACAACATTCTTACCCACGCAAAAATTGTAGCAAAAACAACCCTGGATATGTTTTTCTTTAACTACTCAACACTATAATAACTTAAGCATTATTTCCCACCACCACGTAAATTAAACTTCAACCATAATTTAATATATAAGGTTTTTTTGTTTAATTTTTCGCCTACTGATTTTAAAAAAAATGTATATATTTTAACGTGGGTCAGGGAGAAACTAATATTGTCGGAAGGATATCCATAGAGGGTAGGCAAATCGGTCATTTGATATGTAAACCAATCATATTGGCCCAACCCTGAGAAAAGAAGGTTGCTTCACATACAAACCAAAACTTACAACAAGAACAAACCCTTAACCCTCCCTTCCATCCCATTATATAAACCATTCATTATATTCCCTGTTCACATTGTTCACTCTCAGTAACACACACATAAACATTGCAATGGCAGACCCAACAGCCATGTATGAGTTCCTGAAGCAGCCCTCAAACGGTGCTGCAAAGAGACCCCTACCGCCACCACCACACTCCACCACTGCCAACACCACCACCACCACCACCGCCACCGCCACCACCCGCACCTTCCAATGCCACTTCTGCCACCGAGTGTTCTACACCTCGCAAGCTCTTGGGGGCCACCAAAACGCCCACAAACTGGAGCGAGCTGCCGCGAGGAGACAAACCAATGGGCTTCTCCCGCCGCCCCCGCTGCCTCTGGAGCCCGCCCTCAAGCCCACCGAGGCCAGGCCCAGGCCCATGCTGGAACCACTGGAGCCCGCCACCGGACTCTTCTTCCACCCTCCCTACTGGCTCGATGTAGAGCCCTTGCAGTTCCAAACCACCCACCCTTACGTCACAGCCGCCACCCTCCCCGTTCCGTTCCACGCTGCGTCTTCCACAGCACCTCAACAACAACAAGTCCTCTCCCACAATGTCGACGCTTCTGACCACGTCAACCTCGACCTCACTCTCCGCTTGTGAACTCGCTTATTCATTAAGCTTCACGTAGTTACTTTGTTTTCTTAAAAAGAGGTTACAAACGTTTTAATTTCTTCATTACTATGTGTTATGGAAGTGTAAGAGTCTCTTTCTCTTCTTCTTTTTTACCCTTTTTGTTAGGACTTTTGAGAATGCAATTTATGTGGTCTAGTTTAGTAATTATGAAGTGCTAGCTAGCTAGCTAGGTTCAGTTCAAACTCTCAAGCTACTATAATGTTTTAGTAATTGATATCCCTTATTTATATTAATTTCCTCATGTTTTCTTAACTTTTATTTCCTGGGTAATGTAAATATGCGCAAGAGAAAAATAAAATAAAAGCAATTTTGCATTGGACGGTGAAAGTACTATAAAATGATGGAGAATGGGTACTAGTCTAATTTGATGAAGCATCGATCTCTTGAACATGATTTATTTGAAGGGATTGAGTTTGAGTTAAAGAGAGAATGAATATATAATAATGAGGAGTAGGTGTAATAATGAATGTGTCCTGGTTTGTTGTGTGTTAGTAGTTATCTTTTCTCGTAATTTCCCTTTAGGAAAAAAAATGGCAAGAGGGGAGGGTTGGGTTTTGTTGATTAGCTGAAAGGGGAAGTAAAAGGGAAATTGAAGGGGAGTGGTTTGAGATCGAGTAAAGTGGATTCCTACTCAAAAAGAGAGGTTGATGAGACCTTGGTGTTTTCTTTGTGCAATTATTATTCATAGAGGCCTTGTGAATGTAGTTCCTTCTTGTAGCCAAATTATTGTGAAGCTATCTATCTCTCTATATATGCCTACATCATAAGGATAATTTTCTCAAACAATTTCTATACGACATATTCTAGCTTTTCTTCACACTTAACCTATTCCATTTTTTTCTCTATCAATCACCTCGCCCATCATTATTCATTATTATTCTCATTAGAGTTCAACAAATATTACACCATCAATCAAATACTTACTATATATGTCAATAATAATTAAACGATATTACATAAAATTACTCTATCAATAATTATTCGTTATGAAGGATCATGACAGAAATTACACGATGCTATCAACTTATTTTACTCTCTCTCCAAATAACTTTTGAGATACATTATTTTACATAATGTATTTTAATGATAGATTTAGCAAAAATAAATATTAAAAAAACTAAATTTGATCTTTAAACATTCTAAAACACTAACAGTGGATTGAATTGGAATTTTTATAAAAAAGCTCTAGTATTCGTATAAAAACTTTTAAACATTAATAAAAACTTACAGTATTCAATTAAGATTATAAAGTTTTTTTAGTGCAACATTCCATTAAAATTTTAAAAAGACTAAAAAAAGAGATATTTTATATTTAGAATTATACAAACTCTTGTCAGCACTACTTTCCATTATTTTTATCACAATATTAGGCATAAATATTTAAACAATATTATTTTAAAAAATTTGAGACTTTATTTTTTTGAAAACGATACTAATTTTAAAAAATGTAAAATATTTTTTGAGACTTTATGGAAAATAATAAAGTGATTAATCTATCTAAGATAAAAGAAACGTATTTTTTGACCATTTACATGATATTCCTCTTTATTTTTTTCTCTTGTTTTTAAGTTGAGAAAAATATACATTTTATTTATAGATTAATGAAAACATATAAAATTTTTATTTGCTTGTATCATCTTATGTTCATTATAGATATAAACAATATGTTATATGTCCCACATCATTTAGAAAATACATCAAAAACTTAATATGTCATTATAAAAGAAAAACTTCATTCATGTTAAACCCATACCTTTTAAAAATGCAATTTATGTGGTTGGCCTTTTGGCTAAGATCAAGTGTAGTTAGTATATATGATCTTATCAGTTTATTGCCTGATATATGGATCATATTAAAATAATTTTTCAAAGGGGAATCTAAAATAATAGCTTGCTATTGGATTCATCTTCCATGTTTTGCACTATAGGCACTATTGTATGGGTTGACACACCCTCTAAATAGTTTTTAAAATGTTATTACACCTTATTTATAGATATTGAAATTTAATATATAAAATCTGATTTAAAACTTGGAACATATACCTAATAAAAATAGAATATATATGATTGTATGCAGGCGTATTAAACCACATAAATAATTTTGAAGTAAATGTTATATGTGAAATCTAAATTCAATGAAGTTCATACTAAACAATTTTGCAAATCTCTTGTCAATAAGGATAAGAGACTATATACTCTTTATCCTTCTTTTGATTGAATATAGTATTTGTTACTCAATTGGAAGCTCTTTTTTTTCCTAAAACAATGTTAAATTCATATATGATAAATTTGGTTAACCAATTTTATTGATTTTGGGTGATAACGTGTGCTAAAATAATTGCCTTAAAGTTTTTCGGTAAATCTAAACAGTAAACTTCTATCTCAAAAGTTTGGGTATGTAGTGATGAACCAACATCACCAATTATTTCTCATAAACTTATTTATAAAAGAGGTGTTAGATAAAGCTTTATTAAAGAAAATTATGAGTTTTTATCCTAAGTCAACACTGTTCCTATCCAATTTGTTGAAACATCACATTTAACAAAGCTTGATTTAAACAAAGCCCACTCCCTACAAAATAGCATTAATCTTTTGTGGATGCATGGAAACTCTAGGCTTAGAAACTATATCCCAAAATAACTTATTCCAATCCTCTAAAAAATGCACTTTTTCAAATTCATAAAAAAAATTATTTTAATGTGTAGAAATTGCCTCAAATGTTGTTCATACCTGTAGAGCAAAATAGTATAAAAAATACTATAACCTACCTTTTTAAAAGAAGGTTTTAGTATTATATTCATGGTAAATTGGAACGTGGCTAAAAGGGTTGACAAGAAACTCATAATGTAATTAATGAGTTTAGGGATATCCACTTCATGCATTCTTATTTGCGATAAAAGAAATTCAATTCTTTATCATTTATACGATATTCCTCTCTTTTCTCTTGTTGTTGAACAAAAATATGTAAAAGTTAATGAGCAAACAATATATGTTAAGTTCCACCTTGATGAGAAGATATAAAGAAAACTCAAGATATCATTATAAAACAAAAACTAATGCAAGTTAAACTTATACCTTTCTCGGCCTTTTGGCTAAGATCAAGTGTAGTATCTGTTCTTATCAGTTTAATATCTGATATGTGGATCATTGATTCACTTGATATTAAATTAATTTTTTAAAGGGAAGAATCCAAAATAGTAGCTTGCTGCTAGGATTCTTAAGTGTCTCCTATGCTTTGCACTTTTGTATGGGTTTGGCACACCTTATAAATGATTTTAAAGTGTTTTGATATATTGTTTATAAATGGTTCTAAAGTGTGTCGATATATTGTTTATAAATATTAAATAATTTGATTTATAGGACATTCTAAAATACTATTTTAGTTATTATTTTCATACAAAAACTAAAGATTTATTAACTTATAAAAAAACATTTTAGACACATGAGTCATCAATTTTAGGACATTTATACACCAATAATACACATTTTCTTTTTATAAATATATTATAATATTATAATTTAAATCATAAATATTATTTAATTAAATTGAAATTATTAATCATAATTAAATATTTTAATACATAAATTATTTTTTTTAATTTGTTCAATAAAAAATATTAATTAATAAATATTTAAAAAATATACATATAATTAAGGATATATTTTAAAAAATATATATAAAAAAATATATATTGGCAGGATTAGCTAGGGTCTAAGATTATGATAAACCCTGTTATATTTTTAACAAATCAAAGATAAATTAGATCACGAAGTAACTTGTTTTTGCCATCTTAATCAATACCATCCCTATCTAATTTGTTAAAACATTATATTCAATATAAAAAAAATACACTTTTTCAAATTCATAAACTGTTTCAATTTGCAAAAATGGCCTCAAATGTTGTTTATCCCAAGTTTTTATTTAGACCAATATATCATTCAAAAATACTAGAATATACCTCTTTTATGAAAATGTTTCATCATTGGATAGCTGGCATATTTGTTAATCTAAAAGGTTTGACAAGCAGCCTATAGTATCTTTAATGAGTTCAAAATTTTATTTTAGGGATATCCATTCATTCTTATTTAGTGGTAGCCCACCTTCAAATGAATCTTTGAATAGAAAATTTGTCTCGAATGGTAACCTGATTCATATGATCCAAATAATGTTAGTGGATAACCTATAAGTCACATGCGGTTGAATTTCATCCTTTTTCCAGTGGGGGTAACCATATGGTCCTACATTTATAGATCCACCCATATCTTGGTGAGAGTCATATGGTAAACTTTCCTAATCGATGCCAGCCCCCTTAGATTCAGTAAACATGTGAGTGAAATCCTCCAACAACCTTCTCAATTTTTCTTCTGATTATATTAGAAATTCATTAGTGACAACTATCTCTTTCTCCATCATCTATAACATCCACATAATTTTTATTTCATTCTCTGGTCATTTCAGTAATGATTTGGCTCATATTAACAATCTCGTTAAGTTGGCATCTCCTTGTATCTTAATAGTTTGACCATGATGCACAAATGTCAAGCTTAAAGTCTTCCAAATTATCATTTACCTCCCCAAAAGTGGCTAGTCATGTTATACCCAAAATCGCATCCACACCTCCCAGATTAAACAATAAAAAATTTGTTGATAACTCATAATCACCCACGCTACTTTATGTTCTTGCTCATAATGACCCACACTAACTTATAATCACCCACATTGCCATGAGTTAGATTCTTATTTCTATTACTCAATCTGACCTGGTACAGTCTGGAACTATAACTTGCTAAATATGAAACATGATTTGCTTCTCTGTTAATCAAGTTGTAACCTTCCAATCTTTACAATTCCCTATAACTTCATAATTTAGGTTAGAGTCAAATTGTCAGCAGACCACATGGACAAATCCATCCAAGAGCGACCATGATCACTTGGTCAACTTTCATCCATGTTTTGTTGAGAAGATT